ACCTCTACGACTACGCAACGGCAAGTCTAACGCTTAACGGCTAACGGGTCTAACGTCAACGCACGTTACGTTAACGCAAGCCTAACGGCTAACGCACGCAACGCACGCACGCACGCACGCACGCACGCACGCACGCACGCACGCACGCACGCACGCACGCACGCACGCACGCACGCACGCACACACAGACACGCACGCACGCGCGCGCGCGCACGCACGCACGCACGCACGCACGCACGCACATGATTGTCACCTATTATTTACGCGTGATCATATTATGCACCCCGCAGGTTGCAAGATGGGTGAGGTATCCGAGTTCATGGTATCTAAAGGCACGTTCGTGCGCATCCCGACGCCCAACAACGACGTCGACTTCCGCGACCCGGGTTGCTTCAAGCTGTGTCAGTGCACGGATAAGGGCATCCTCGAGGCGTGCGTCAACATGCCCTGCTCCGGCGCGCGTACGTGCGTGCACGGGGACCAGGTCGTAGGTAAGCGCGACATCCGCTGTTCTATCGTGCGCCTGTGCTCCTGCTGCTCCACCACCCGCCTGGGTTCTTGCTGTTCCACTACGCGCCTGTGCTCCTGCTGTTCCACTATGTACCTGTTTTCCCACTGTTCTACCGTGCACCTGTACGCCCGATATCCCACCACCCACCTGTTTTCCTGCTGCTCAACTATGAAGAAAAATCGGTGCTGATATAGCGATGAAAATATTCAACATAAACGAAACGCATACTACCTAAATACGACACATTATTACTGGTAATCACAGACAAGCATCACCCCCCCCCCCACACACACACACGGGGATATCATCAGGAGGGTCATAATATAGATATAAATATTAATAGATCGATAAAAGAAGAATAGATAATGATAGATAATATAGATATCTTATTATGACACCCCTGATATCATCATATCTGCAGTATCGATACTTACCCCCCCCCCCCACCTGCGTCATTTCAGCACACAACACACAGTGGGGCGAAAGCTGCAACCTGTGCGTCTGCTACGATGGCGCCGTCATCTGCAGCAATCGTCAGTGCGGTCCTGCGATGACGAGGAGCGCCGGCAGCGCCCCCTCGTTCACGGGTCTGCCGTGTAACTGTCCTGAGCACTATGTACCAGTGTGCGCTGTCAACGGACGCACCTACCCCAGCGCCTGCATCGCAAGGTAAGCAGTCAGCAAACTTCAACAGTAATTACAGTTGGTCTATGTTGCACGGGTATTTCTACGTGTCGGTACCAGCGAAGCGTCATATATCCGCGAATCAGTTGTAACTTAGTTAACTTTTGTCACTTGCAGCCACGAAGGCTCATTTTATCGCGCCACGAGCGCATGTGTGTATGTGTGTACGTGTGTGTGTGTGTGTGTGTGTGTGTGTGTGTGTGTGTGTGTGTGTGTGTGTGTGTGTGTGTGTGTGTGTGTGTGTGTGTGTGTGTGTGTGTGTGTGTGTGTGTGTGTGTGTGTGTGTGTTGTGTGTGTGTGTGTGTGTGTGTGTGTGTGTGTGTGTGTGTGTGTGTGTGTGTGTGTGTGTGTGTGTGTGTGTGTGTGCGCGCGCGCTCGCGTGTACATACGTGTGCGTTTTTCTAACTACAGCATTTAGAATCGCCCCACAATCACGCCAGGTGTTCTCTCACCTGTCCTAATCTCTCACCTGTCATCTACATGTCCAGGTGCGCCGGACTCGAAGACGCGCAGTTTGTCTTCGGCACGTGCGCCTCGCACGACCCCTGCCGGCCGACGGACCCGTGCGAGGCGGGCCTGCGCTGCGTGCCGCGCCGACAGACGTGCCTGCTGAACCCGCCTGGAGGTGCCGAGGCGGCGGTGGCCATCGACGACGTGTGTCCGCAGTACGTGTGCGTGCCGCAGCATCTCAACTGCGGCGTCGAGCCGTACGACGCCGGCTGCGGACTCGACGACCGCACAACGATGTGTCAGTTCATACGCAAGCGCGGCGAGCACAAGGGCGAGTGCGTTGTGAGTGATTTATATCAGATATATCAGATATAACATATATATATATATATGTATATATAATTATATACATATATATATATATATTCGTATATAGCCCCTAAATATATTTTATCTACATGAGCGCCTGCCAGCGGTAGCCTAGCGGCTTTCCGCGCGGGGCCCCGTGTAAGGCCATGATATACTGGGCCGCATTCTCCGACCTCTGGTTGTTAATTAGTGTACACACCAGCGTAGGGATACATGGCCTCTCTGACCATCACTATATGCCATTGCATAATGTCACTACCTAACAATGTTTCATACGCGTGATCAACTAAAGCTAACTGTGGCGCTTTTACCTCCGTTGGCGTTAATTTGCGGAGGTTTTGACGCTTTATGTTGACGATTTGTTGTTTGTTTGATACCGTCTAATAGAAATTGCAAACCTTCGGCATATCCCAGATAAATACACTTATCTTCTTCATTACTCCAATTATAGATGAAGTTACGGAATCGGCCGAGGTGTGCCCAGTGATAATGCGATCATCTCCCATGCCCATCTAATTCTTGAGATCCGACATAAAAACTGCCCATATTTCGCGGAGATCCCATTGACAGATTTGTTGTTCTGCTATCATTCACGTGGTACTTCGGTCGTTGACGTTGTTTCTTGCACTACTCCTCGCAGCAAAAGTGCTCCGGTGACGGCGCCGTGTGTGGACGCAACGGTGAGACGTACAGTAGTGAGTGCAGTGCCTGGGCGGACAGAGTCAGTGTCGACTACAGGGGTCCGTGCACGGCCGTCGGTCAACTCACCCGTGAGTACAAGGCTTCATCGCAATACTTCATCATGACCATGATCGTTCTGTGATCTATGTAATCAGGCGGTGTCTTATGATCAAGATAATTTCCTTATTCGTTTCCGTTAAACAGAAGTAACAACATATCTTTTCCCGATTTTTTTCCACATATAAACAGGTAACTGCTTGTCTTCTGAGCATTACTCCAATATAAATAGGAGGTAATATATAATGCCTCGATCTTAATCGTGGTACCGCTGGACCGTCACTCCCCGACTATAGGTACTAACTTCTACCACATGCGTTCGTAGCATTACGCATTAGTAACGTATAAATATCATCGGATGCTTGCTTGCAGTGTCGGACCGAGACAACCCTCAGTGCAGTAGCATCGTCTGCCCGGAGCTACCCACGCGCACGTGTCGCGGCATCATCCCGCCAGGCACCTGCTGTCCCGTATGCGGTAAGCATAGCACACCTGTAATCAGGAGTGTCACAATACAGACACTCCTGATGACACTATGTCTTTATGACTCCTGATGACACTATGTCTTTATGACTCCTTATGACACGATGTCTTCATGACTCCTTATGCCTTACTCTCTTATGGCTGACATTATGAATCCTTATCGCTATATTATGATACTCGTGATGTCATCAATGCTCTTCATCCAGCGGCAAACATCCCGATTGTACGGTGAATTTCCTCCCTCTATCTTTCTATCTCTTCCCCCCTTTTCTTTCTATCTCTGCGAATCTCTCGTCTCCCCCTTCTCTCTCTCTCTCTCTTTCCTCGTTCTGTCTGTTTAGGCAGGAGAAAGAAGAGGAAGAAAATGAGGGAGGGTCATTTTCTTCCTATTCTGCTTCCTCTTCTTTCTATTTCTCGCTCTCTCTTGGACTCTCACGCCGCTCTCTCTCTCTCCCTCTCTCTCTCTCTCTCTCTCTCTCTCTCTCTCTCTCTCTCTCTCTCTCTCTCTCT